TTCATCTCTTGATAAAAGTCACTGCTGTTCTACAGTAAATCTTCATGAGAGCAGATTTACTTTTGTTTCTTTTAATTATTGTTGTTTTTTAACATTTGATCAGACGCAAATTCAGCAAACAAAACCTGCATGCTTTTTGTTGTGTAAAACATCGCTGTAAAACTCGGTTCTGACCATGGCAGAAAGCAACAATAACAGTAAAGTACTGTGTTTTTTAAAGCACATTGTTTGAGTTCAACCGATCATGTATAGCCCTGCAGAATCCAACACAGGGTACCTAAACTCTGAAGATACACTTGTATTATAAAAGTTACTGTATGGGGATTTTGGAGCATAGAGGACCTTTACTATGTGTCTCATATGTATGTCATTATTTTTGGATATTTTTATTTTTTAAACTCCATCAGTATCTCCTGTTAACAGACATGGTCTGCTGGAACTGACTGCAGCTATTAGTTACATTGTCCTCCTTCAGAAAATGTAAGGTTCGCTAACAAAATTGCTTTCTTGCCTTCCTTCTCTTAAATTTGTTTTCAGACTGATGTGTTTTTTATCTCACATGGTTTTCTTGCCATTCATATTACATTTAAGTCTAATCTTGGCTGCATGCCATAGAAACTTTAATCCACATCCAGAGGATTCGAAACCTACCCAGAGTTTTTTTATGTACCAGCAGTCTGACCTCCAGTCTTTTCTAGAGATCCTGCTTCTGTATGGGTTGTTCTGTTTGGCTAGCCAAGGGGTCTGTCATACAGTGACATAAGCCTCCCCTGCAGCCCTGGGCTATGTACCTGTGACCCGTGTCAGCACTCGGTGGGATGCAGCATGGCAACTCATCTGAAGTTGATAGGTTTATGCACACATTGCTCAGGGAGGTGCCCTTGCTGGCACGGGTGTTGGCTGCACAGGGAAAGGGGAGGAAAGGCCTCTCCACTCTGCTCTGGCTCCATGAGTTGTCGTTGTGCTGCAACTACTCCAGGCTAGAGCAGCAGAGCAGCAGTGGTGTGATCTGACTGACATTTCTGCTGAAGAAGGAAATGATAATGTAACTGACCTGTTACAATCAAAGAGACCCAGGATGAAAATGTTTCTGCTTTTGTCTCAGCCAGTGGCTGATGAGTACCACCTGTGCACATCTTTGTGGTTTGACTTTGCAGATGAACATTGCTTTTGGTGCATTTTCTGCAAAGAACCAGCATGCTCCTTTGCAAAGCCACACATATACAGATGCCTTGGAGAAGGAAAGGAAGGGTTTGTTTTATACAGAGCTTCTTAATGTAGTTTATGGTTGCCATCATTTTTAACACATCTGACCAACTCAGTTTCCTGTCTTGAATCAACTTTAATTTCATTAGGTCCTAGGTTTTCATTTCTGTTGATTTGGCTGGGCTCTGCAGGTAATGTACTTTAAAGAGCCTAAGTTTGGAAAAGAATCAAAGTCATCCCAGGAGAAAGGTCCATGCTTAATTTGCTCCAAATGATAATAACAAAAGAGTTCTGTAGTTTGTTTGGGGGTTTTTTTTGTGTGGTTTTTTTTTTTTTGTTTGGTTTGTTTTGTTTTTTTTTTTTTTTTTTTTTTTAGTTCACAGAGTTCCAATTTCTTACAGAAATACAGAGTACTGGAACAGCGTTATCATAGTGGTATCTTTAAGCTCACAAGTTGTTTTGTGAGAACACTAACAATGGTCCAAGAGAGTTTAACAAATCTTTGTATAACACCCAGCTGTAGTGGTTCTGAGTCCCTGGAGCTTGAAAAAGTTGTTAAAACTCTTTGTGGGTTTAATATTAGGGCCTCTCTTGTAGCAGTGGCAGCTCTTCTGAACTGATGTCATTACAAGAAACCTGCACTGGCATGTTTGAACACTTCTGTGGATTGTGTCTGAGCATCCCAGCCCACCACCTAGATGCCTGGAAAAATTCCTGCAGAGACATCAAAGTGCCTGTTGAAAGGTAACATTTTTATGGATTTATCTATGCATAACATTAGATATACAGTTTTTTTGTCTTAAAATCGTATTTTGGCTAAATACCTGTATCCATATTTTAGGAATGCCAGTATTTCTGCTGATTATTTCTGAAAATGGTGAAAAAGGCAGCTTCCAGTGATTCCTGCATTCAGCATATTACAGTTTGTGTCCTATTTAAATGATATTTTTATGATTAACTTTCTTGGATGACCTGTTAGCTTACATTAAACAAAAATAAAATGCTTCCTTGACTGATTTTTTTTTAATGGAGTAGCTATCTTTCAAATGCAATGGCTTCATTTTAAAATAAGAAAATATGTAACTTTTTTATATACTGGTATACTGTTACAAGTTTCTCATATTTCAGTAATAACCTTTGTTTTTAGGAGGCTTGGAGCAGGAGACATCTTTCTCCCATGAGATCAACTTGGGAAATAATATTGGTGCAGTTTGTGATGGCAGGTCTTATATCATTCTTATATAGGGGAGGGGATTAGTTCCTGTTGAGGTGTGGCAGGGTTTTAAAAAAATCCAAACCAACCCAAACAAACCCACCCCAAACAAACAAACCAACCCATGTGACAGCAGTACTTGAAAGAGAGCTGATGCATTGTCACAGGTGTGCCCAAAAGGGAAAAGCTCTTCATGAGAGGAGTGGGGAAGAAGTCCAGGGAGCACTGTGTAAACAGAGGAATGTGCAATTTGCAGGCAGAAAAGAAGTTGTGAGGTGTTTTCCCAAAAGTACTGTTGAATTGCTGTGGGCTTATTTGTGTGGGGGGAAAAAAGAAATTAGCAGGAGTAGAAGAGAAAAGATGAGCACTGTTAGGCAAACAATGGACTGGGAGCCAAACATTTGACTTTAGTTGCTCCACCTGTGCTGCTAATCCTGGTAATGAATAAATACTGAAGCTCAAATGTCTTACATCACACTTCACCTGGTCAGCTGTTTCAAGCAAAAGAGAAACGCTTACTTCATTGTTCTTTCTTTTAACTTAAGGACTTCACAGCAATAAGTAACATATGAAGTAAGTACACCTTAAAGCATAAACCAAATGAAAACAGAAAAAAACCCCACCTGTGCGCGCACACACACACACAGAGATATATCATTATGATGTTTTTGAAGCATTCCCTTTCTGCAAAAAGAGCCCGTGAATTTCCTCATCCTATCATTATCCAAGTTACTCTTTTACACAGCAGGAAGCAGAGAGGAAGGCTCCAGGAGAGAAAGACATTCAGACTTGTCAAACAAGCATTCGAAGTCAGGCTGCAGCAGCAGCCTCAGCTGAACACAGCTGACTAAAACTGTCCCCAGTTTTCCACAGACTGTCAGCCCAACACCAGCTGCAGACGGCTCTGGCAGTGGCAAAGGGAGACCCAACACCCAGATTCTCCGCTGGAGCTTCCTATTTTCAACTCTTCATTTTCCCAGCCACTCTTATAAATAGCTGCACAAGCACTCGACAGTAGCAAAAGACAAATTATCCTGCTTCCTACTTTCATAGGGAAATAGGAAAATTACTCCCATGTACTTTAATCCTGTTCTGACTTTGAAACTGAACAGAAGGACGTGTTTCACAAATAAGCTTAGACTTACTTTTGTTTCAGGCAACCTGAAGCTACTCGGCTCTTCAAATTGAAGTGAATAACTACTTTTCCTTAAAGGAACTCAATGCAAGCTAAGTTGCATTTTAAATTACCAAGTTATGTTAACATCTAAATTAGCATTATTTAGCATTTAACTGGTAAAACTTCAGCAGTAAGGCTGTCCTACTTGCCTATCAGACACAACAAATGAGCACAAACCCGTTTATCTACTGCTGTGCATGCAGTTTTGTAGCATGGTGATCTATGGAGCTAGCTTAGGTACTGGAAACAACATCCTGAATTCAGTATTCCACCTGGAGTCTCTCGCTAAGAAGTAACATACTCTAGAATAAAATGTTACATATGCTAGAATAAAATGTACAGTCATTTAAGCTCCACCACAGCCCATCTTGAGTGTTTTAAGGGGTGGGGGGAGAAGGGAGAGGAGGAAAGGCAGGATAATATAAGCCTTGACAAAACACTGTGCCAGTGCAAGGAGATTGCTTCTGCTACTTCGATTAGCTCAGACATCCGTGAGTAGCACTTGAAACAGTGTTAGGATTTTAATTTAATGAATTTGAATAATTCAGAGCTTGCCATTAAAGTTATGCTCTCAAAAGTCATCATCAGAAAGCACTATGTTTTCACAGTGAAATGGTTTGACCAGCACAGTTAAGGAATTTCAGAGTAGACACTAATGCATAGCTGGGAGAGAAAGGGATATGGACACATATACACAGCTTCAAAAGTATGATTTCCTTCTGATGCAAATAAAGTTTAAATGTGCAAATGGGATCTACCTGTCTTAAGTCCTAGAAGGAAACTAGTCTGTGAAGACAAAATCAGTTGAATTTATGGTAGCCTTTGTGCATCAAATCAGTGAATCAAAACATGCTCTGCAACAAAGTCTTAGCACATTAGCAGCTTTAAACAGAGTAGAGACTGTGGTGCATTTGACTGAATTCCAGTCCCTCTTCATATGCAGGTGAGTTAAAAAGCTGAACTAGGTTTTACTTTTAAAAAGCAGACTCTGTTTAAGTATTGCATCTTATTTATCATCCTGCTTAACAAAAGCACAAGATAAAACCACTGAACAGAAGCTAAAGTAGGAAAGATTAAAAATTTAAAGCAGATGTGACTTCAGGTTCTCCACTTGCCAACTTAAGTCACAGTTTAAAATCTGTCCTATTCATCTCCCATTTCCTTTTCCCCACAACTGTACATCCTCAGCAGCAGCACTGCTTTGCATATACCCACTTGTGTACCACCTATTTGGGGTGTTTCAAGACCATTAAAGCATTTCTACTATCAACTGAAATATATATGAATCCTCCTGAAGGACCTTGGTGTAATGTTCCTCAGTATAACAGGGACCTTCTCTTAAAATTGAAGATTCAAGTTAAACGCTTGACAAATGATCACAGTTTAGCCATAAACACAGCAACATTTTTGCTTGGCATGCTACAGCAGAAACTTTATTCAGTTCTTTTTGAAAATATTTGCAACCAAAATTTATTTTTGTAAACTCACAGAAATAAGCTTTAACATATAGGCTTGTGTACAACTCAAATACAGGTAATACTTTTAGCAATAACTTACAGATACAAACTAATGATAGACTACAATTTCACAAAGAATTGTAAACATTTTGCACAATTGTCAGTCCTTTCTTTTAGGCAAAGTGCTCTTTTGATGACAAATAAATTAACACACACATAACTAGAGTGGACTACTTCCAGACAATACAAAAAGGTGTTTAATAAGGCTTGTAAACAATGTAATAGTTATTTATGCAGAATCCATAAAAGTGTCTTGCAGGCTAAATATACTTACATACCTGGGCAGCAAAAGTTATCTTGAAAATGCTTTAGGTGTTAAATAAAAAGTTAACATTAATGTCTTTCCAATGATATTTTCAATACACTATGACTTAAGGTTACATCTTTAATAGCTTATATCCCTGACAGAAAGGAATTAGGTGTGACTTAGTGGCAGTTGTGTCATTGAATGGGGTAGCAAAGGCTGGAGTCCAAGAGCTGTAGGTGAATGAGCTACAAAAACAAACATTACCAGTCAATTTCATCAGAGTAGAAAAAGATTATAAGCTAGTAAATCCCACTGGGGAGTGACAGCTCACTGTCCCACCCCTGTTGCATGCTCTGTTTCCCCTAGCCCAGCATCCTCATTCCTCCACCCACAGCCCACCTTACACCACTGCTTTGGAGAAAAACAGCTCAGGCCACACATGCAGCTCAGACTGATTCTTCCAAAATCTTCACAGTCCCTCCTAACCACAGATAGGGGCCAAAGCTGTTGACTTGCTGGGTCTTAAGACACAATGACTAAAGCACTTTTGACCACCAGGCTCTCCCCCCCCGCATTGTGTGTTACTGTGAGGGAAGGCAAAGCTCTCAAAGAAGTTGCTGGTTGGGGCATCTCTACGGTCCATGGGGTAAGAGCCAGAGAGCAAGTGGTAAACAGTTTTCATTAAAATTACGTATTATTAAAATACATGGTGTGGATGCTTAAATAAGTGTTTAATTTCTCATTATAGTTTTAATAGCCTGGAGGAAGCACAAGCAGTGGTTTTCATACCAGATCTTCAGCCATGCTCTTACAGTGAAGAGCGACTGCTTTCTCAATAAGGTGTAAATAGCAAGTACGGTATTGCTATATTCTATAGAGAATACTAAAAATTAAAAATCCATTAGGTTTCTTTAATCAGTACTTGGTAGACCATTCTTGCTGCAGCTGATAATGATTTTACTAGGAGAAAAACAGCAAAGCTGTTAAAACCTACCATCCATGTAGCTGTGCAGAGCAGTCAGCATAGTCCCATCCTGGGGTACGTATGCAGAGTATGCCATTTCTTCTAACATGGGTGAAGACAGCCTGGAGGGCTGAACTGCGGTGACAGGAGCAGTAGATGAATGATTAGGACTAACATGTTTCTTATGGCGTGCTCTGCAATTTTGAAACCACACCTGAAAAGCAGGGAAAGGTACATCATGTTGACAGATTGCATTCAACATTAGCACAACAACCACCTGCCAGATATCTCATTTCTATAGAAACACACTGTCAGTCTTCCAGGCTAGAATGAGCCAAGGGAACTCCAAACCTATTTGTATTTATATTAACATATATATATAATATCTATTAAAAATCATATTTACGTATAAAAAAGCATCCATATAATGTTTGCTGAGAGACATCTTCAAGCAAAGATTCCAAGTCTGTGTTTCAGTTTTGGATGGCATGGGTATATATTTTAACTCTGCTCTCTAGAACAGATGACTAGATAGTCACTTGCTCCTAACATGTCATACCACAAGACATTTTCAAAAAGAGTGTAGGTCTTAAGAACAGACTATTACAGTCAGAAATTTCTATTTGGAATAACTTAGTGCCAATTTCTATACTATTTAAGCTGAGAAGTTTCTTCACAGAAGACTGTTAATACTCCACACAAAGCACGAGAGGAATACAGTGAGTTTTCCAAATTACCATGCTTGTTCTAGACCTATTCCTGATTAAGGATGTTGTCTGATGTTATAATTGCCAGATCAGATCTTTTTCCGTGCCAGAATAACTACATGGAGAAAACTGTCATTAAGCATTTCCAGTGGATGAGTACCAGACTTTGTTAATCAAGTAACTTCACACTGTTACCTGTATAACACGCCTGCTCAAGCCTGTTCTTTCTGCCAGTTTCTGAAGCGTTTGTGCATCTGGATTGTTGTCCTGAGCAAACTGTGCTTGCATAACCTGAAAAGGCAAGGTAAGAGATTGCAGGATCATTTGTGTTGAAAGCAGCATTAGATTCCTCTCAGACCATAGTCCTACTCCTTGTCTGTCTTCAGGAAACTGTTGTAATCACTAGGTCTCTCCAGACAGCCCCCAATACGTTAAGGGGAAAAAAATCCCCCAAAGCCAAAATACAAACTCTTACTGTGCTTAACTGAGCTGTGACATTCACCAGAAATGAAAAAAACAGATTCTGATTGGAGGAGGTGCTCTGTAAGAATACAATAAAAGAATTATATGAGAAAATTCACTGCAAAATGATTAAAATACACTCAATAAAGAAAAGCCTATAGCAGCAGATCACAGCATAAGGACTGGACGAGCCATGATCCACCACCCTGAACTTGTTAATCAGTATCTGCACCTTGTATTAGATGGAACAACTTGACTTTCTTTTTATCTTTGCAGAGGATGCAGGAGCTGGGAAGCACTTTGTGCTTTCTTTGCCTTTAACCAACACAAGGAACAGAGGGGACTCCACCTTGGCTGATCTCCCCTTTGCAATGATTTGGTTCCACTCATCTTTTTACAGAAAACTGAAGTCAGCACTTGTCATTAGGATATGAATTACACTTTTTTGAGTAAGTAGATGTCAACTTGGCCTGCATCTTGAACATTTTCAGAGGCTTTAGGGATTTGCCCAGTTTATGGACGTAAGGCTTCATGGATTTCTGCAGGATATCTTCAGCAATTTCAAGAGCATTAGTTTCTCATTTTTGGATTTTTGACCCTTGATTTGACCCTGCAAATTTTGCCTGGCTTCATCTTTGAAGATTCAGACTTCTGCTCTCCACATTCAGAAACTATTTACTTTTCTGCTGTTTCACAGAATCACAAAATGGCTTAGGCTGGGAGGGACTATCCAGTTCCACCCAGTGCCATGAGCAGGGATGTCTTCCACTAGACCTGATTGTTCCAAGCCCCATCCAACCTGGCCTTGGATACTTCCAGGGATGGGGCAGCCACAGCTGCTCTGGGCAACTTGTGCCAGGGCCTCACCACCCTCACACAGGGAAGAATTCCTTCCCAATACCCCATCTAACTCTGCCCTCTGGCAGTGGGAAGCCCCTTGTCCTGTCATTCCATGCCCTTGTCCAAAGTGCCGCTCCAGCTCTCTTGGAGCCCCTTTAGGTAGTGGAATGTGCTATAGAACATAAACATCAACATGCATGGACACCCTTTTGTACAAGTACTTGGTGAGGTGTGCAGTAACATGCTGCCACTCTGACAGTCACTTATCCCTATGATCTTCTCTTATTCAAACTTATACCAGCCTCAAAGATAGGCACAAAGGTGCAACAAGCAGATAGAAAGTGTCATTAAATAAGATGGAGCCCTAAGATTTCAAACACCTGCTGAAGTATGTTAAAATCCACCTAAATGACAGCAGCTGGGAAGAAGCCCTGAATACAGTTCCTGCCCCAATGGCTGGGCCTATCCTCCCTTTCAGATACTGCCAGAAAAGAAAGTCCCCTTTTGTAGAAGTTCAAGGTCAATGTCCAAGCCTTCCCTGTGCATCTGTTGGATTATTACTAAAATGAGTCTTTTGTGTTACCACTACCTTCTGTCTCTAGTCACTACTGAAATAGAAAACCAAACTTTGAACAGCCCCATGTCCCATTATACAGCACTGCTTTAGCACCCCACGTTATTACTCCTCAGCATTAGTTTTTTCTCAACTGTTTTCACCACAAAAAAGAGGAGGACAGGTCAACAAAACAGAACTCACACTGTCAACAGAAATTCAAAAACCTGATATAAAGTGAAAGCAGGGATGTATAGCTAGGATTAGGCAGAAAGCCACAGCTTCCTTCTCATGCAGGTTGAAATCCCTAAATCTGGTCTCACTATCACCCCCTTCATTGTAAGCTGGCCCTAGTCCTGATGTTTTTCCCTAGAAAGCTAATTTAAGTGAAGTGTGATCCAGAGGGCAAAATAATTCCTCTTGAGATAGTCCAGAGCTAACTCTTGACAAGGCAGCAACAAGACAAGAAGCCTTGAAAGCAGAGCAGATGCAGTCATTACAACAAAATTGCAACTTTCATCCTATTAATGTTTTGAAGTCACATACAGTACCCATCTTTAGTACAATTTTTCACATTACGTAATTCTAAAAATATTTTGTCTTTATTATGTTTAGTGATGTAAATTGCTGATTAAATAGGTTTCACTGAGCAATCTAAATAGAATAACCTTTTTGTTTCCACTCTGCAGAATTACTGTCTGCCCCCAGGGAAATAAAAAGCTTGCAGAGTACTATTTCATATTAAACTGCTGAAGCTAACAAACAATTCCAGAAACATGCTGTGTCTTGATAGTTTATGAAATAGTTTAAAGCATTCAAGCTTTAAAGTTTCTTTCCCTATGCATCCAACTTCCTATTGGTTCAGCACCTACGTCCTGCATAAACCTGAGCTACACAAGTTTTTAGCACTGCCTCTACCTGGAGTTGGTCTGCTGTGAAGCTGGTCCGAGCTCTTTTTGCTGGTTTTGGATGATTAACATCTTGTTCTGTTAGTAATGCTCCTTCCACACTAATCCCATTACCTGAAACATTAAAAAGAAAACAATACTGCCACGACACATTCACAGTGATGTTATTCATAAGTCAGACTGTTCTCCAACAATAACCAACAGCACTTGGTCAGCTGAATTTCAACTTCAAAAAGCCATATTCTATTCAAAGTTAAATTGGTCTGGCATCATTACAGATTATACCCCAAATGACTCCCTTTCAAGTGAGAGAAGAAATAAATCTAGCGTGATATTTTATCAACAAGATATACTGCTGCTTTCTTTTCCTTAGGATAGAAAACAAGTTATACAAACTCAAAAAAAAATTAGAACATGAAATAATTTGCACATTATTTTAATTCAAGAACCTGTGCTTCCAGTCTTACTAAAGCCAGGCAATTACCCCTAAATAAGGAAGATGAAGTAAACCCCAACAATTTAATGAAAACTGAACCACAAACATAGTTCTTAACAAAAGCACTACGTTACCATTTTCAACTTCTCTTTTCAGATTGTCCAACATGCAGTCGTAATGTACTCTACAAAGGACTTTCTCTTCAACCAAAGCAAACTCCTCTCCGGTTGAAAGCTGCCTTTTGCAGGAGAAGCATGCAAAGCACGCCAGGTGGTACACGTTTCCTTTGGCCCGCCGGACCCAGTCGGTGGAGTGGATGTGCCTCCCGCAGCGGGAGCAACGGGTGCCGTAGCGCCTGCAACGAGAACGGCAACCGGGGTGAAGCCAGACGTGACCGCCCCGAGCAAAGCCGGGGTGACCGTGGTGTGGCAGCGCAGCCGAGACCCCAGCTGAGCACAGGGACTGCTTAAGACAAGACCACTAACGAAATACAGAGGTTAGTATTTTCATAAGGCAAAAAGCAAAACTGAAGCATTTTAACTGCTACGTGAAGTCACAGCTCTTCATCTTTCCTTTTTACAAAGATAATTACTCTTAAAAATTGCCGAGAGAGGGAAACAGCTGACTGTGTTCAAAATTCTCCCAGTTATTCAAATGTATTTACACCACTCTAGGGGTAGTCTGAATTATTATATTTAGCTACATCATCCTTCACTAATCATTCAGCACCTTCAGCAGAAGGGAGAAAACCTGTATTTCATAGTTATTTCCTCAATTAACATCACATTATGATTTCTAAATAAATTCAAATATCTGCAAGTATTTACATTATTAGAGAAGAATATTTCTCTTTGAAGAGGAAACTAGTCACCCAGATATGTTGATTATTTAGATAAGAATTTGTCTTGAAAATCTTTGCAGATTCAAGTTCTTTTTTCAAGTCCCACAAAACTTAGTGTTTCCAGAAGCTCACAGCATTCAGTTTGCCCCCCTCCTCTCTTTCAGCGTCAAACCTGACTAGCTGGATGTAATCTATTCATGGCACAGGTGAGAATCCCATAAATAGTTTGGTCTTGCAATCAAACTCGTGAAGTACTAGCAATCACATCAAAATTAACAGCAACAATTTTTGCTACTTTATATATCAAAGACTTTGCATCCTGAGTACTTACATTGCCAACCCAAGTAAATAATATTCTTCCTTACAGAATTAGCCCTTAATGCTTCACATTCTAAAGCAAATTGATCACAGAAAGGTATAACTGCTGAAAGATTCTTTTAAAGATCGCAGGATTTATCCTGGCTTGATTTTGCAGCTCCATGTGATGCCTTAAGTCCCATACCAGAGAAGCACTTCTCCAAGCAGATCATCTGAACTCTACCTTGCATTCTCAGCCAAGGATGATTCTTTGCACATATGATACACTTGTACTGTGGCAGGGACTCTGACTTTTTTCCCCCGTGCATACAGAAGTGATGGTACAAATGCAGCAGCTGTGCACAAGAGTGGAGGGGCAGAGGGGAGACTTAGCAGGCTGTTACATCACACAGACTTGAGGCTCCCCAAGTCCCTCCACAAGAAAAGTCAGAGTTTAAACCAATGAAAATAAACCTAGCAAATAAAAAAGAAAGAGCCTCAAGTGCATTTCAGTTGTGGCTTAAGTGAAGAGTAACAAGCAAGTGTAACAAGTTATCTGATAAATTATGTTCCTGAATTATATACCTGAAATAATCCAGTTTGCAGAAGATATCTTTATCTTTGATGTAGCAGCTGGTGTGCCTTCCCAGGGACGTTCTGCAAACGCTGCACGAGAGGCAGCGTACGTGCCAGCAGAGGTCGTTTACCTGCAAAAACCCAACAGAAAAATACCCCTCAATGCTTGTGCTTCCAATATTATATTTTATAGTTACAACCCCTTTTTTTTTCTCCAGACAAGGTCAAAAGTTATATGTACCATGATTCACAGAAAAATGATCCTGAATGCAAAACATTTTTCCTAAAGAACTGCGTGCATATTAAGGGTTAACTAATTTGATGCAGATCTTCAGAATAAGCTTTCATGGTTTTGTAATTAAAAGCATCAGAAGAGGAAGCAAGAGATTCAAGTTCCACGTAGATATTTTGTGCCCAGTTCTGTTCTCATAGCATTAGAGTAACAGAGCAAGTTCTGGCCTTACATGAACTTGCAAAAGCAGCTAAATTACATACTTTTATTTCCCAGTCCGTAAAACGTCCTGCCTAAGAAAAACTAAACTTTGCAAAGTGATCTGAAATTTTAAGATGTGAATATTGAAGGGGGCAGGAGGGAGAAAATCCATCAAATAGAAACACACCATGAACACCACCTTCATTTACCAGATTTCTGTTAAAACAAAGCTGATGAAAGGAGTGTGAGTTTCAAAACAGCAGCACTTGTTTTAATAGCAATTTCAACACATCTTTAATATATCCCTAGCAAAACTAAATACATTAGTGGAATGCAGCAGAAACCAGCATTTGTGAAAACTCACATACAATTTTGGGGCAAATAAATGGAGAACAATTATCTTAATTTCTGCTTTCCTATAAAGGGAACTCTTTGTTGCCCAGACATTGCACATCACCTAAATAAATAATTTGACAACCTAAGACTCTTAGCGACCATACAAATTAAGTAAGAACCCTCTGGATAATCCCATGCTGCATAGGAGAAATCCTGTAAACCAAGCAATGATAAGGTTTAGATGTTATAATTTTTTTTCTCCTGAGCCGATTTCTCATCTCATACTAAACAGCCCATGTATTACCTATAGCAAAGCAGATTTTAAATAACACAGAATATGCCTTTTTTTCAGAGCTCTGCCAAACAAACCACAAGAGAAAGTGAGGCATCAACTCCAACAGTCATGCTGGAATCACTCAGTCATTCTTCAGGCTGTAACATTGCGGTTTGCAGTTGCCCAATGCTTTCCCAACTATTATCCTTGTTGGCAGCCACCTTCCCGTAAGCTGACAAATTTACACCACAATATAATATGAAACTGTTGATAGCAGCTGTCACCGAACCCACTCTCCCAACTATCTCTTAGAAGGGCCACAGAGCAGGGGGGCAGCGCCGGGCCAGACTGAGCCTGCCCCTCAGCCAGTTCTGCCATGCCAAGGCTCCCTAGGCCTCCCCAGACCCACACTAAGCCCCAGCACAGGCAAGAGGAGCCCGTGCAGCTCTGCAGAGCCTGAGCTGACAACCCAGCCTCAGAGAGCCCATGTCCCTGCCTCTTCTTTGGAGCCCAACCAATGCTCTTCTACAGAGCAGGACACTAACAGCTGCCATCCACTGTTAACTCATTTAATGTTACTTGTCTGTGTTCCTACTTGTTTGTTAATTGACAGGGCTGAAGTTGGAAGCCATGCTGCAGCTGGACACAGCAGCATACCAGCACGGATTCCCCTCTGCCTACACAGGAAGCAGTAACAGCTAATTGAAACTCAAGGCTAAATCATTTAGAAGCCTTTTGCTCCAAGTCCCGTTATCCCAGCTTTTCAGAAAGGAGGCAAAGGTGATCAGCAAACGATAAACAGGCTGCCAAAGCGTCACAGAAGGTAACGGGAACCGGGCTGGAACAGAGTTCGAGTCAGCTCTGCTATCCATCCAGCCTCCCATTCTGTGCCAGCCCAAGGTGATTGCACGGTGGACCAGATCACCCGGACCATGAGTGCGTGGCAGCTCCTGCAGTGACCCCGCTTTAAGTGAGCGCCAGCCCAGCACACATTTTCCTTGAACGTCCCCACCCCAACCAAGAGCTAAGTGAATGATCTAGTAACACCACCGAGATGCTTCCAGTGGTGTCACCGACTGTCACCTGGCAAATATACAACGACTTTGTTTAAGGCTGATGGAATCAAGTGACTCTGCTACGATCGTATAATCTCACTTTTGAAAGGAAAGGAGACAAAAGTCCGACCTAGAATAATTTTAACAGCTCTAAAACAGAAGGCAAATAGCACAGACACACACCCTCCTAACGTCCCCCCCCCCGCAAGCCCCCCCCCCCCCCCCCCCGTAATACTTTATGTTTAAACTCACTTGGTTTTGTTTGATTTTAAATGGACTTTTCGGTCCTGACTGCTAGGGAAGGAGAGCTGCTTTGCACGCACACAGCTCGTTTTCTTCACAAATACTACTTGACTACCTTTTACAGGAATAATTTATTTACACATTTCTCAAGAGGCATTTTTGGCTTTGAGATTCATGACGTCCCCTAGATCTACTTTAGTAGACACACAGATCGCGCCACCGCCGTCTGACCGAGAGCGCACGGGAGTCACCGCGGTCGGGACCGCTCGTTCCCGTCCCCGCTTCTCCCGGCGCTCCAAACACATCTCAGCACCGGGAGCGTCACCTGAAACACCGACGGCAGCTCGGGCTCCCTCTCTGGCCCGAATCCTGCGAACGAGCGCGCTGCGGCTCCGCGGTACCGCTCCCGTGTCCCGAGAGCGGAGGGCTGAGCCGCAGCGATGGCCCGGCCCGGGGAGCTGTACCCTCGGAGCCCGCCGGGCCCGGTTCGCCGAGGCGGCCCCAGGAGGCTCCCCCCGGCAGCCCGAGCGCCGGGCCCGGCGGAGGGGAGAGGCGCCGGCCGCGGGGGGCTCCGGGTCGGGCGCCCTTACCTTGAGCAGATACTTGTCCACGATCTCCAGGCCGCAGCTGCTGCACACGCACTTGCCAGTGGCGCAGCCCGAGCCCGAGGCCATGGACCGCGGCGAGGAGGAGGGCGACAGTACGGCAGAGGAAGAGCAGGAGTCCTCGTCAGCCGCTGCGGGGCTGGCCTGCGGGAGCGCGTGGAGACCGCGATCAACGCCGGGCCCCGCCCGGGAACCCCTCACCGCCCGGCCCGGCCCACCGGCACCTGCGGGCCCCGCCACCGCGGTGTCCGCGGGGCCCGGCGGGAGCGCCGCGCCCGGGGCCGCCAGACCCACCAACCGCACCGCGCCGCCCCCCGCCCGCACCTTCTCCGCCGTGCCGCCGAGCGCGGGCAGGTCCTTGTCCTCCAGCCTGCAGACGAACATCGGGTCGCTCTTCCAATACATGGCCCTGCCCTACCGCATACCAGCCCCCGGTGGGCGGCGAGCCGGCTCCGGGGACCCCGCGCCGATCTCTGCTCTCAGCGCCTGCAGGAAAAAAGTTTTGTTTTCAAGTGGGTGGACCTGCCCCGCTGGCCTCACCTCCTGCGCAGAACCCGCCTTCCAGCGCGTCGGGGCCGTTATCACCACCAGCGAGCCCGCGCGGGTTTAGTGCGGGGGGAGAACCCCCCCAACATCATCAACAACAAAAAACAGCAACAAAAAAAACCCCGAGAATCCCCCCGTTCGTCTTCATCATTTACCACAGCTTCCCCCCGCCGCCCCAGTCTAAACACAGGTTCCAATTACGTTTCCCTATGAGCGAAGAAGATAAATACGGCGGAAAGCGAGAGTCCATATGACAGGAACGATTTTTCCACACTCCCAAATCGCAAAGCCCAGGTGAATTCCTGTAGCTCACACTCCCAACTCCTACACCCACCTCACTACTTGTCCTCCTACTAATGCCTCCGAGATCCCGTGATAAAACCTTTCTCATTAAGCTAAAATAGAAGCACCTGAGCCGCCGAAGCGTTTCTCCAGCTCTGAGCTCCCACAGGTGTTGCAGATTAACACCAGCGTCCCGGTGGCATCCCGAACAGAGGGTGCGGAGGCTGGCTGCCCCCACTACCTGCAGAACTAGCCCGCGTTTCTCCGTGAGCGGCCGTGAGTTACGGCACCCGTTCTCCACGATCACAAATCTTGTCCGCAGTATTCCCTCACACCAAACACTGATGCAGTTCTCGGGCATTAGAGGAGAATAAAGCAGCAGCTTGTCCATCACAAATGAGGTAAATAACCGGCTGTCTGCTCCTCGGCACGTATTTAACAAGCAAGCTGCTTTTAATTAAACTTATCGTTATGTTTCCATCTTCCCCCTTACCTCTTTGTTTCAGCCCCGCCTGACCATGGATGCAGAAACGCGTCGTTGAGTCTCGGTAAAGCGAACTGAGAGAATTGCCCGTACGTTTACAAACACGATGGGCTTGATAAAAGGGAATTCTCCTTTTGAGGAGCTGTGTGAAAGGAGAAGTCCCCTATTTTTCTCCCTCTAAAAAAGATGATCGTTGTTTGAAATCCCCGGGCTCGATCCTGCAGGACCATAAGTGAACGAGCAGCTGTGCCGAGTCACGGTAATGCCAGGATGTCCCGTCAATCACTCGTTTGTCCAGCGCTTTTAACCGATCGAACCCTGGCAGAATCTCACAGACATTCGCTCCCGCTGTCCCCGACACCGCTACCTCAGCGAGGCAAGTAGGGCTCTGGAGTTTGTTCTGGCCGCGACGTGGCTTAGTGGACGGCGACCGACGCTCGGCGCAGCGACCGGAGCCCCGAGTGGCGGCGGGGAATATGGACACCGCCGGCCCCTGGGAGTCCCGGCCCGGCCCCGGCCCGCCCCCATGCTGGCCCCGAGCCGGTTTTCGGGCGTCTCCCCGGATGGCCCGGGGCTGCTCGCGCAATCCTCAGCTCGGACCCGGTCGAGCGGACTCGCGGGGTCGGGTCCCGCGGCCCCCAGGCCCGGCCCGACCACCCGCTCCGCAGGCGATGGGCTGCGGCCCCGCAGAGCGCCCGGTATCCGCCCCTCGCGGCGCGTTCTGGGGCCCCCACGCAGCGGGGTTCCCGCTCGGGCTCTGCTCCCCGTCCGCGGCGGGGCTGGTCGGGGCGCCACCAGCCGAGTGCTTAGGCGGCCCCGCGGGTCGCGGCGGGGCGGAGCGCTCGGCTCGGAGCCGCTCCAGCGCGGATCCCACCGGGCTCCCATCCTGCCCTCCGCGCGGATCTCCCCGTCCGTGAATGAGAGAGGCACGACAGCACCGCTATCGTCTGTCGCGGACGGCACGACAGAAAATGAGCACCTGACGGGGGGCTCCGAGGGATGCATCGTGGAGGAGCCGGGCCACCGTGATGAGAGCCCGTGGTGAGCCCGGGCGCGGCGGGACGGGCACGGCCGGGAGCAGAGTCGAAGTTATTGCTTGTCGGTCGTTTTCCTGTGCCGTCAACGAGTTAATTCACGAGGTTGGTGTGCGCTCCGCGGAGAGCTGAGGGTTAGATTTCTATGAAATAACTCCCTTCCTGTGTACCTTTTCTCTCTGGAAATACTGCGGTAGGAGCCTACAAAGTCAGTCTCCGCATTGTGCCCCGCGACGATCGTGAGATTACGAGCAGCGGTAATTCATACTGCGGTGTTGGAGGAAAAGCAGTGTGCGGGAAATCTCCGTGTTTTGTACCGTGTCCGGCGCCGGCTTCACCAGGAGACGAGCGGGTGCGGCTCCACTGGCCGCCCCGGTCTCCTCGCCCGCCCCCAGGTTCCGGGGCAGCCCCGCACAGTGCGAGGGTCTCCGCGGAGGCGGGGCAGTGGGACGCGCTGCGGGGGTGCGGTGCTTGTCGGGGCTCACCTGGGGCCTCCCCAAGGGCTGCGCAGGCTGGGTCAGCGGCCCCGGGGCGCGGGAGGTGCGAGGAGTCGAGAGGAAAACGCGTCCAGAGAACAGTCCGGCAGCAGAGCCGGGTTATTGCTATGGCCGGAGGGGCTTCGCGAGAGGCTAGCGGTTTTGCCGAGCTAATTAAGGAGAGGCGTTATTTCCGAGAAGAAACGCGATAACGTCTACAAGGTGGACGTGGAAAGTGCATGGGCTTACTTATCCAGGATTCACCCGTGCTTCGCCCGTGCACTTATATCACCCATCTCTCCGAAGACCAATCTAAACTTCATCGCTTAAATTACACGCCCTCGATATTTTAGTGAATATTTCCTGCATCGTTTTCTGAGGAGATGTAAACAGGCGGACACGCAGTCTTTAGGGAATTCCCGACTCTGCGATCCCTGCTCTCCCGCTGCCGTCTCCATGCACATCGAAGGGACGTGCCCCCTTTTGGGGCGCCGGGTAGGACCCCGCGGGGAGTCATCGCAGTCCCGGAAGAGGAACCTGCCGAGGGACGGGCAGGGTGGCCCCGGTCTGGTCCTGCCGAGGCCGAGAGCGGAGCGAGAGACTCCAGCGGGACCCTCCGACAGGGACTGCGTCTGGTTCCAATACCTCCCTCTCAACAGTAAAGCCAAGGATATGTGTGGGTGGGAGCGCTCGCCACTCACACACAGGAGAGATCTTTTAAATGTTTGACGGTGCACACAGCACGACGAAAATACTGAACGCGGAGAATTAGGGCTGTTTTAACGAGAGAGTGTTGGCATACGGACTCCACCAGAGACTGCACCGAACGCAAGTGCATGTGGCTGGGTGCTTCTCTCTGGAGTCTGTTCTCCCGCTAAAACAAGTCCTGTGAGACATTAATACTGCCACTGTGGTCAGCTTGTGATAAACGGGCACCGAGACCAGGGCCGCGGTGAGCCGGGCGCCCACTCCCGGCCGGTCCCGCCGGGCACGGCGCGGTCGGTGCTCGCGCGGCGCATCCTAGCGCCCGCCCGGCGGGTCCCTCCGCGCTGCCCGCGGGACGCGGCGGGGCGGGCGCGGCGCTGCGGGACCTCGCAGGGCCGTGGGGACAGCGGGGATGCGCGATTCCCGCAGCACACTGCCCCGCGCCCGCTCACACTCCCTCCCTCCCCCCCCCATCTGCTAGCAGGAGAGAGCAGGAGGGAGGGACGGCTGGGAGAGGGAAGCCCCGCACCCGTACGGGACGAGGTTCACTTTCTCGCAAGACCTCCTGTCTTGTCTCAGTCATCTCCTTACACTACTTGGTGTCTGCACACCTGCAAGTATCCACAGATTTTCCATCTGTAGATCGCCGTTGTCTTGGGCTGTGGGGCCTGTGTGGGCTGGGGAAGAAGGAACCGAATCAGTGTCCTCAGGCTTGCTCTCTCTTGAGTTTGCATCCCCAGTGGCTCCAGCCACTGGGAAAAGTTGCAGAGTTTGGACTAGCCCTGGATTCTTGGTCCTGAGCTGGTTTAACGAAAACCAAACGAATCTAGTCTCTTACCAATTATTTGTTTTCCAAATCAATGGAAAACAATGCACTTTCCTTGGGCCAGGCTGTCTGTCTCCGGTTTGTGGGTCCAGGATCTTCCAGAGCTACAGACATGCGGCTTTTGTTCACGGCTTTTCCAGTGTGGAGCTCTGTGTTGCTTAATCTTGAGCGACGAGATCAGTCTAAGGGCAAAATTTCTCTTTCTTAACTGGATTCCTGAGCCAGTGGTTCCTGTACCAACACCCAGAACTTGATGCATTTTGTTGGTTCTTTTTTAGTCTTTTGTTTGTTTTGGTTTTTTTTTGTTCGTGTTTTTTTTTCTTTTTGTTTTTAATTATTTCTTCCCTTCAGAAAGAAAACCTAGGGGACAGGGAGCACAGAAGGCAAGAAAGGAGTCAGTGGGATGCAGCCCTGCATCTTTTTACAGCGCTGGTTCTTGCACTGCGGGGGGAAGCGCAGGGAGTAATTGTGGCATCTCAGTGTGTAACTGCAATATTTTTTTCTTCATTTATTCAAATCTACTTATTTCCCCTTTTGGTCGCTGTACTCTGAACACGTTATCTGGATGAAACCCGTATGTGTTCAAATCAAGTGTTGCATGTCTGCGTTCCTGAAATCGCGGTGAACACTTCGTCTAGAAGTTGACTTTTTAGGCGTCTGCTAATTATGTCACGCTGTCACTCAGGGAAAGTGCTGGGGACAGAGGAAATTAGAACAGTGATCGTATTATGTAAAAGAGCATTTGCCTTAATGGAAGGCAAAGCCAAGCTGGAAACCATGGCGAGTTGTTTATAAATACAGTCACAACGTTGTAAGGATGTCCTGGTTTCGGTGAGCACGGTAACTCCGTGCTGGAGGACCCGTAAGGTTCCGCCGAGCTATTGGATCTGCCCACCTGATTCCTTTCGCTTCTGTTTATGCGATGAATAAACACTCTCTGACAGGAGACCCGGGACCGCCTGTGCCGGGGGAGTCGGGGGGCCGCGGGGTCGCAGTAGGCTCGGAAGGTTTTCAGCTCCTTCGCCCACCGTCGATGTGGACAAGGGACCCCGCGAGCGGGTTGGGGGCACTGCCGGAACTCCCGCCCTGGACGGGCTTCGCAAAACACCGGAGTGCGGCGGCAGGAGGGCTTCCCCGGGAGTGATCTCTGAGCCCAGTGGGCTATCCAGCTGCTCCGATCCCTGCTCCGCCCGGGCCGGGCCTGGTTGGGGTCGGTGCCACCGACGGCCGGGCGCACCGGTGGCTCCCCGCAGCTCGCTCCACAGGACGCAGCGCGGCCCTTAGCAGGGGGTGCTGCGCCGGGACCCGGGCAGGTATATTATGAGAACCCTCTATCCTCCCGGCTCCCCCGCGGAGCCCGTTCTCGGTGGGTTCGGGGTCCCACCCGGCAGCGGCGCGGACACCGTGTCCGCGGGGCTGGGCGTGCGCTCCTCCCGGCACCGTGAGCGGCACACACCGCCCACTCCCCGGGGCTCACAGGGCCCCGCTCCGGTCCCGCCTCGGCTCTCGTACAAGCCTGCTCCGGCCCCGCGGGCCGCGATCGCTGCCGGGGCCGCAGCGCTGGAAGGACGGAGGTTGCGGGAAACGACGCATAGAAGAGGGGGCGGCTTGAGGCGCGACAGCGGCCGACGACAGAGAGTGGCCGGCGGCGGTGCCGGGCGGGATGGGCCGGGTCGGCCCGGGACCCTCCGTGGCCCCGGGAACGGCTCGACGGGCGCCTGGTCCGGGCCGAACGGGCGGGCAGCCGCGGGGGCAGAGCCGGGGCTGCAGCCTGTTCCTGGCCGCACTGGCGATTGCCCCGCATAGGGCAAAGGCGAGTGGCAGCCCAGCAGCGCCACCGGCTGCGGGTCCCCTCGGAGGAGGCTGCCTCGGGCTCCACGGTACTCTCCCGGGTGTGAGCCCTGCTCCAAGGGCCGGACACAGCCCGCCGTGGGGGCCCAGGCAGTCACCGCTTGTGAGGAACTACAGCTCCCCTCCTCACAGAACGGCAAATGCTTTTCAGAGAAAAATAGTATTTTCTACCTCGGGATCAAATCCCGCCTCTTTCTCGCGTCCAGGGCTGTGCGCTGCTAAGCCGGTTGCAGGATGCAGTCCTACGTCTTCTCCCCTCACGCAAACACCGTGCACTGAGCGTGCCACAACCTTTGAAATGTGCTTTGCTTTTGCTTTACACTTATCCAGGGATTTCTAAGTCGCTGGATTTCAATTTTTCAGAGCCTAGTTGCAGACGAGTTCAAGGGACTTCTCCTCAAGTGGTGCTTAGCTTGGTAAAAACGGGGAATCGAGGTGGTTTGCTACCCCTGATACTTGAATGTTACTGTCTCCCTAAACACGGGCCACTGTTGGAAATTTGGGCTGTTCCACAGCGATATGAACGGCTTTGGTTGTTTTACGACAGTGACACTGCGCAGAGCATGTTACAACGAGCACCTCACTGCACCCTCAGTGCACCTTCTTTCGGCGTATCAGTATGACTGACTGTTCTTGGCAATGTGAGTTCAAGGGCAGATTCAACTTTCAAAATCTTCCCAGCTAATTTATGACTTTACATGTTGATAAAGTGTTCAGTGTGTGTATGAAAATGAAAATGTCTGTTAAAAACCGAGTGCATTTGGGACTAACTAGCTAGAGATGTTTTGTTTAGTAAGTGAGCAAATTGGGAAGGGAGCTCATGAAAAAAGGTGATTCATTCATACCAGGTCTGAAAAACACAGTGAGCCTCCAGAAACAAGATCCCGGTTTGCTGCCCACAGGTTACAATTGCTGAAATGTTTGCATGCGGCTACAAGTAAATCAAGATTTACAGTTTCATGACTGGCGTGTACAAAGTGCTACTGTAATGCTCTGAAATAAAATACATTTCTTTGGAAAGTGCAGAGGCTGCAGGTGTTTACTGCAGTGTTTTAAGTAGAAACAAGAAATCTTATTCCTCTCTTGGTGTTTATAATTTTTACACTGATACGGTTACATTAACTCTTGACTGACACTCACAAAACTATCTGGGAGAATTTTACCTGGTGCCAGAGTGATGTTGCTCTGGAGGAGAATGAAGTGCCTGAACAGCATGTGTTTCTGCCCAGACATATTTTATTTTTTTTTTTTTTTTTTTTTTTTTTTGAGTTTAATGTTTGAAAGCAGTCCAGTGCTTCTGGGCAGGGGAAAGATGGGAGAAATGTCATGTTAAGTTTAACACAACTCTCTTCGTTAACCTGCTCGTTTTGAGCTGTTTTCTGAGTTTAACTAACCTGTTCACACAGGAAAACACGCTGGTCAGGATTTAAAATGCATCTGTGAGCACATGGTGGCTTTAGGAAAAATCATTTTTCTGTGGTACCTTAGTTATAATTGTTGGACATCTGGATCCAGTGTTGCTGCCATCAGCAGCTATCATGTCTTTGCTTTTGAAGGACAGCAAGGAAATATTTCACTAGGCCCATGTTAAAAAAAGAAATAAAAAAGTAACAGAAGAGGCTGATTACTTGAGGAGCATATTAAATTTCCTGGTTGCACATATAGGAGCAATCTTGTTCACCTCACTGCTCTACGCAAAACTACTCATCCCTTTTGTGGGGCCCAGGTGCCTCCATGCTCTCAGTATGAACTCTCAGTACCTTTTGTACTGCACAACAAAAGTCTGACAGAAAATGAATTTTTTTACTGGTGATCTAAGATAATATTCTGTTCATTGCTTCAGGTTGAGATTGCAGAAGGAGAAGAGAGTGACAGAGGGAATCACTGGAGGTTTTAAAGGCAACTGCTTGTTTTAATATGTACAAACACTGAAAGATGAGTCAGCTCTGGCTGATTACCTGGAAAAAGCCTTACATAAAGAAGCACTTCATCATTTAATGTTTTGCTATTCCTTGGTACTATCTGAATGTCGGTGCTTGAGCAAGAGAAGAATTATTTCTCTAACTCTCTGGGAGAGAAGGTCTGATGGATGAAAGAAAACTTAGAATTCAGCAAAGCACTGACTTGCCATCAGAGTTATACAGACTATAATACTGGCACTATTCTACCTCTCTGTTATAAATATCCAAATGTTCACATCCTCATCAATCAGCCCCTGATGGCTTTGAGAGGCAGGTTTACAAAACAAAGTATGCAGTGGTCCCATGCTTGGCTTGCTGAGCCAGAGCACCATAAAAATGCAGCCCTTGCACTTCCCTGTCCTGCTCACTGAAAGGCTCACAATGTGTGGAGCCCTCTTGGGCTAGAGCCCAGGATTTTGGCAAATGGAAAGACAACCTTCTGAATGCCTGCCTGCCTTGAGCCTGCCACAGCAGCAGCTGTGAGGTCATCAGAGTCTGTCTCGTTTTGCCTTCTATGTGGCTTCAAGCAGAGTGGGAGACA